TATGAATTCTGGTCTTAATTTCTATTTGATTTCTTTATTGAGGGAATATTCATCTGAGGCCTGGGCGGTGAGTGACATGTTTTTATCCACCAGCATATTAAAGCTTTTTTCAGTGCCTAAAACAAAAACAAAAAAAAGTAATTACCTTCAGACTTAAAGGCAGCTCTTACATGCAGACCTTAGCATATCATATAAAAGATGGCTTGCAGTTTTAAAAGTTTTGTCATTTTCTGTTCCTATAGGGAAATATTTTGTTTATTCTTGTAGCATCTTAATGTTTTAAACTCAGCTACTAAATAGTCATCTACATGCCTGAGTGGATATTCTTCCTTCTTGATCAGAAAAGTCTTTCTCCCACAGAGAGCCTGCAGCATATTGTCTTGGAACGTTCCTTTTTTAAATAACTTGAATTTTTGTAAAATATTCCCAATGAATTCATAACTGCAAATGCTTAAATGTAAAAGAAACCTAAATGCAAATTAGACTTTGGTTTCTGTTACTCCAGCAAAATTGCTTGGCTTTTATAAGTTTATATGTTACTGATATGATGTACCTTGCTAAAGTAGTAGTTAGCCTTAAACTTACTGCAATCATAAATTTTAATGAAATTTCTTTAAACTTTTAAGAGGTTGTCAAGCACCACTTTGTGCATAACTATGAATTAAAAAAAATCAATAGTTTATATATATATATATAAACAATTGAGCTTTTACATATTATATATATATATATATATATATATATATATATATATATATATATATATATATATATATATATATATATATATATATATATATATATATATTTGCAGTTCTAGAAACAGCATAGATGGCTGCCATTCGGTCTGTTTTGAAAAGGAAGGAGGTGTAATACAATGCTTTGAGCTTATTGGGTGATGTGCCAGCTGGTACCCATCTTCCATTATATGCTTTCAGCTAATCGTAGCATTGATTGTGACGTTGATTGTTTTCACAACTAGCAGACTCCTTTTGGAAGAAAGGCACAGACGTCTTTCTCATCTACAGATGGACAAAGTGCTTCTCTTTGCTCCTTTTTTAACTGAGAAATTGTCTCTATTTCAGCTAAAACCGAGTAAATTGCATTATCAACGGTTGAGTCCTCCAGCGTAGCAATGTTTGTAATGCCCCGGCAAGGCCCTTCTGACTGTCGGCATTCCTACATGCCCCGCCCCTAAAATCCCTGCTGACATGTCATTGGTTCAACTCGCTGCTTGTTACAAGACGGGCGTATTAGCGGGAGTCGTTCAAGATGGATTTATTGTGAGACTGAATACTCAGATGTTGTGACAATGCAGCTTACATCGCAAGGTTACTGTACTTGGACTTCATCTGTAATATCTTGTAATTTCTGGAACCTCTCTAAACATGAATGTTAATATCAACTTTTGTGGTGTTATGCTAAGCTTTCATCTGTTAATATTCTGCTAATTTATACTTTCCTGCCAGTGGCAAAAAGCTTCACCTTACACATCAAACTGAGGCAAAGTTCTAAGCATTTTAATTAGATTCTGTAATAAACTAATACTCTAACAACATGCCAGTTGTACCTACTGTTTTGTTAATGTGTTGAGGAGCCCGCCAATCTGAAAGCTCGTTCATTGACACCACATGTATTTGTTGTTGACAGACTCATTATGAAAAACTGTGAGTCTTCTGAACTTATTGGACCAAGGAGTAAATTAGCCAGAGCTCTGCTGACCTGAAAGATGAGACAGGTAGCATTGCAGAAAAGGGTACAAGTTGAGGGAAATGTGCAAGCTGTGATTTAAAAAGGTAAACCTCTCACAGCATGTTCATTCTCTGTCTTGTTGACACAACAGAGTAACTTGTCTCTAATCTCAATCATACCTGACCTTCTCCCCCAATGGGTCAGGCTTAAGAGTCCTCACATGACCACAAACGAGAAGCTTTTACTCTAGTTATACGGTCTGTGACCTGAACAACTGACTGACAGGTTTAATTATGAGAAAGGAAAATATCCCGTCTCTATTGGGCCTTTAATATAAAAGCCAGGTGCTTCTTCATGTTCGTATTTATAATAGATCCAAGTGGTGCCTGTCCAGGACAAAAGTGACCTGTTTGTTTGTACAAGAGCAGCATCCTGACTACAGCCTTATGTCTATTAATGACTGAACAAACGAACCAGTAGACAAAATAGTGCGGGCAGCTTTTGTTGTGGGGAAAGGGCAGAGATCTAGTTAAAGAAGTAGATTGGAGTTGCATGAAAAGAAAAAAAATAAGGGGGGGGGGGGGTCCTCCAGTATTGTTAAGCTGTCTGCCTTTGAGGGACACCTGTCTTTGGCTGAGCTCTCTCCACAGGGCTGCCAGATTTGTTAGCCTTTAAAGTAGGACTCATTCAACAGGTAGAAGGAAGTGGAACAATAGGGATGTACCCAAAGAACCAGAAGGGAGAGACAACTTGGATTCTTAAGAAATCACCTGAGGGTTTGTGTGAGATAATCTGTTTTTTTCCTCCCTGCCCCTTTTGTAGGGTGGAGTAAGGAGTATCGCAGTGTTTATAGGAAAGAAGCTGTTGCACAAGGACGTGTCTTTGAAGAAACCTCCAAATGGCAATTTTTCTAAGCTATCTTAAGCCAAGTCTGTTTTACCGCCTTCCTAACCCTGTCTGTTTCCTTGGTTACCCAAATGGTCTGTTATAGCACGACGGGGACTCTGCCAAGAACCAGCTTCACATAATGCGATACTGTTACACCATAACCAAAGGTCCCGTTTTCAGGAGCCAAACAGGCTTGTCCTGACCACATTGTTTGTGTTGACGTTTTGTATTGAATGTGTGCGTATGCCTGTGTGTGTGTGTGTGTGTGTGTGTGTGGTCCTGCTGCCAGGGGGAATGCCAAGTTCCCTCTCTACTGTGTGGAATGTGGCAAGCAAAGCAGACAGGGGGTGTGTGCATGTGGGAGATGGGGATTGTGTATGTGGGGGTGGGGGGGGCAGCAAGGCCCACATAATTAAAACAATCAGAACTTTAGTAATGATGTCTTGATGAAATGCCAAAGCCTCGTGAGTGCTGCTCAGACAGCTTGTAAGTTCAGACCAACGGGGTAATTTTCATCATATAAATACCTGCAATGACTTTGTTATACAAGTATTAAAATATCACATGTAAGGCAGGTAGTGTTGTTTATTTGGGTTTTAGCTCTTAGTAAGATGGCTGGTATTTTCTCAAATAACTCTAAAATAAAAGTGTTACATGAAAGATAGAGAAGAGGTGAACTAATTGTTTTTTTTAACAGGATATCTGCTAGTTTGTGAAAATTATCATTTGAAGAGTGTTTCTATTTAAAGACAGGGTGACCTTTTGAAACCTTCCTGTCTGTCCCGTTTCCCTTCCTCCTTTTAACTGTGGCCATGGTGATAAGGGGCCAATGTATGTGTTTTCAAGAGTTAACTTTTGTGTGTTTGGAAACATTGTTTGAGTGTGTTCTTTTTTTTTTTTCCACTGCTGAGTAAATAGCTATAATTGAATCACACAGTGTTCACTTTTTAAGTTTATGTAAGTTTGCATGCATTGACTTTTTGCCAAATGTGCAATAAAATTAAGCTTCTGCTGTTAAGAAAATTCTTTTTTTCCATCAATGATTATTTAAATTACCCCTCGCATCCCCGCCTGGGATAAGCGTGATGGAAAATGGATGGATGGAGGGAGGGATTATCTAAATTCACACGTAGTTTATTTTGCAGTGCAGCTAAAAGTACTTTAAGGTATACCTCAACTTCTGTACTTTTCACTTCTAGAGAATAGAAATTTAACCTATTTTTTAGTCACGCTCTATTTAACCCATCAGAAAATTGTAAATTAATGTCCCTCATCAAGTTTTGCCACACATTACCAGCTAGATCTTCGGTGACCTTCATTGGGCCATTCCAACATTTTGATATGCTGTGATTTAAACTATTCCTCTGTAGCTCTGGCTGTACGTTTATGTTTGCTTTCATTTTTAAGGTGTATTGCAACTCAAATTTCACTATGCAGCCTATGTTTATGTTTTTTATCTCTGTCTGTACGTTTTTAATTTGAACAATAACTACTGTTCCTTTTACCTGAAAAAAAAGGCCATTCCCATAGCATGATCCTGCAGCCACCATGCTTTATAGCTGGAATTGGGTCTTACGTGATCTGCTACTTTCCCACAAATCTTTTTTTTTGTTGCTTTTTTTGCTTTTCAGCCAAAAAGTTATTTTTTTGTTTCAGCGAGAGCATGTTCTTTGTCATTGTCATAGAAGCGATGCACCTACCCTTTTTTCCCCCGATCCAATCTGATTGATGATCTTATCTGATTCAACTGTTGAATGGATTAACCATATATCTCGCCATGTGAATGAAGGCTTTAGCCTTGATACAATTATTGTTAAAATGAAAAATGTGACAAAGGATACAAATAAGTTGAAAAATAAGTAGCAAAAAGAAATAAATAACAGTTCCATGTAAAGTGGACTTGATTAGATCTCCAATATCCGATCTCAAATCCCGGTATCCCATTGATTGGTCAATATTGGAGTTGATATCTGATCCAGGTATCAGATCAGTTCATCTAACCTATAAATGTCAAAATGATGATAGAGTATACAAACCATTTCATTAGCTGAAAATGTTTTTTTTGGTTCTTTATAAGCTTCTCCCTACTTGAATGACTGCGGGTGTTTAAAATTATATTTGTAAATGTAAATCCCTTTATTGTCTCACAATGGGGAAATTCATTCTCTGCATTTGACTCATCCCCTTGGGGAGCGGTGGGCTGCCATTGTGTGGCGCAATCAGGGGTTAAGAGATTTGCTCAGGAACCCATAGTGGAGGCTGTGGGGATCAAACCAGGTACTTGCAACCTTCTCAGAGCACAAGTGCACTGCTCTAACCCACTAGGCCAACACTCCCCAAGGATATTAGAGAAAATTCAACAAAAACTTTGCTGTACCTAATGTAACGTTTTGCTGTACTTGTATTTTTGTGTTTTAAAGGCTACCTGTCCAAAGTGTTAAGGAACTACACTGAGCAGGCCTGTGACGGAGAATTACTGTCTGTTCGCTGCCCACCTCGCACCACCATTACTGTTCAATCAGCTTTCTATGGTAGAAAAGGTCCTTCTGATCCGAAACAGTGCCCTCCAACCTACCAGGCACTCCTGAGCCCCTATCGCTCCCAGGAGAATGATAGATACTGTTCAGTCTCCACTGCGCTTCAGGTAAGTGACCAATAAAAAAATCACAATTGTTGTTAAGCTTTAGTACAGCCTAAATTCAGTCACTCTATTCAAGTGACTCCCCTATTTTTCTGTCAGAATTTAATTCTGTCTTTGACAGTGCATATCCTTTTCTCCCTCTTTTAAAACATAAACAGACACATTTTTCTTAGAATTGATGTGGCAGAATGTGTCCCATATGGCGGTCAAATTGGCCAAGGGTTAATTTTTGTAGAACCACTGATTATATAACGCTTTGTTGGGGAGTTTTCCGGCAAATTACCCACTTTAAATTGAAAGGGGTTTGTGTATTCCCATGGCACAATGCAATTTCATGGAGTTTACGCTTCAGCATCCTTTCCCAAATTAGGATGCGGTGGGACTGAATGCCTCACTTTGCAACACAGACACAAACACATTTGTTTTGTAGTCATTCAGCTGTTAGCTTCATTCTTGGTTGGCCCGGCCATTTAGAGTCAAACACCCTCCATTTCTACTATTGATCAGTTAGACATGAATGCACAGACACAGAGGCTGCTTTGTATGGAAGTGAAACATTGACTGACTGATATGCCACCCACATGAACATTACTGGGGAATCCCTCTGTACCACCAGTTATTAACTGCAGGATTGTTGGCTTCATTGTGAAAATGTCTGTTTATAAAATGTTGAGTTTATGGTTGGCCCAATAGGAGGTAATATTTCCCCCTTTTATTAAAAAGTATATTTACTATCATGGAATATATATTAATAACATTTTTCACAATTAAATTTACACAGCTGAAAAATCTATAAACATCTATTGCTGTAAATTTTAGTTCTATAACTTAATCTTAATATCATAATTGACAATATTCTTTCCAATTTTTGATTTAGTTTTGTTATTAGTAAAACCTTCCAAAGATGCTAAAATCATCTTTAACCTTTTTGGTTATACACCAATATGCTGCATCACTGATATTACAGTTTAGCACCATTATATTTAACTACAGCTATGCTTTTGTAATCTGTGTAGAGGTTTAGTTTTCCCTAGCTAAAGGTTGCATTTCTGTCCTGTGATTTATTTATTAGGTTTGCTATCCAGCCACTTGTGGTTATGTGATAAAAAGAATAAGGCTTTAGGTTTTTTTGCACTACCGTTATTCCACTATGGTGCAGTCTACATTATATTTAAATACCCTTTTAACTAAAAAGAATTATAAATAAACGAAAAATAATAACCATAACCTACATAATATACATTCATTGTAGATGCACACCTAACTTTATACTGCCATCTCGCACAAGGAGGAAAGTAAGGGAGAAATAAAAATGTCTGTGATACACAGACTGTAATGTTATGATCTCTAAAGTTAGAATTTTACAAAATGGGTCATTCCTGTTTTCAAGATTTGATTTTTGATTAACTAACAATCACTTGAAAATTAAAGGGTTAATGCAAAATTGGAATGCAACCATATTTCCCCTTGAGTTGGGATTAGTCCAATTTATCTAGTTCTATATTGCCCGCTTTAAATCTGAAGCAGCTGTTTAACTTTAACAGCTTATTAGTATGTTTTTATTCAGGTGAGACCTTCAAAAACATCTTCCCCAAATCATAAAAGTCCATGACACTCTAAGAATATTAAAAGGAAACATAAATCAAGTGGACCTGTATAAATATTATAAAGTTATGAATAATTTGAGTTACAATTTACAGGAATTTAGTAAAGAGTCTGATTTTAAAATAAAAAACTCAGTTTTTGGGGTTCCTTTGTATTATACCGCTAAATGTTTTCAGTTGGGTTGCAGTAGGCTAAAATATTATGAAGCCAGAGAAAAAGAACAATGTCAACAAAATAGAGGAGTGGAGCTTCCAAAAATTCCTGCTTACCTTTATTATACCAACCTGTTTGAAGTTGGGTTTGGTTTGCAAGCTCCACATTTCACCATAATTTTGTTTATTGTTCTCCCTCTAAAGCCATCTTTGGTCTTCTCCTGCTCTGTGTCACTCTCTCCGTCTTTAGAAAATGCTGGATGAGTGCCAAGACAGAAGGAGCTGTCAAGTCCTTGTCAACAGCCGTGTGTTTGGAACGGACCAGTGTCCTGAAAGGAGTAAATACCTCATTGTCTGGTACAAATGCAGACCTAGTAAGTCTATCATCACCGTCTCTGAAGTCTTTGTCCTTCTCTATGTCTCTTAGACCTTTTTTTAGACACCTCTATATATAGGAACTTTAAGCATTAGTTTTAATCTTTAAAGTTTTTTACACTTTATTTAATTGGGACTTTAAGTAATAGATCACCACTATGGAGCGCACAATTGTAGAGTGGAAAAGAAAATTACATGTAGGTTATAGTTAAAGAGTAAAAAAAACAGTTCATAGTTTTGTACTTTAAAACCTTTTGAACTGTATGAGTATGACAAAACCCCAAATCACCAAAGACATTGCTACACACAACCTTTTAACAAAAAAACTGGTACAGTGCATTGCATGATTATGTTAAATTTAGTGTGTAAAATAAAGCTAAGACCTTTGCAGTTTAAGTTTAGGAACTACAGGAATTAGGCAAAAGAACCAATATTAATTTGTGGTTATTTAAAGAGACATTAGCCCCATTTACACTACCCTTTTGAAACCCTGCAGAAATTGGTCAGACCAAAGTAACCGAGATAAATGTTGAGTGTAAATGGCATGCAAAACTGAGCTGGACCGTGCCAGACAAAACAGAACTGGTATTAGTTCATCAGTAGGGCTTGGCGGGGTTCAGTTCTGGCTTGGTTCTCAGATAACAGAGAACGCATGAGCAGACCACGTCATCTCCTTACAGTCAGCCTCCATAATCATGAACTTTCAGACAGTTATAAAAACACTACCTTGCCTGCCTTGCGACACAATTTCCAGTAATGATTCTGCTTAGCAATGTGATGAACCTTACATTGTTTTCAGCGTCTGCATGTCCTGATTAGAGAATCGTTTGTCGTATCCGCTTCCCAAAAGCCGACTCTGTCAAGTAAATTCACCAAAGGCTGCCTTATTTACCTGACTCTTCGCAAAAATGAAATATCCCAACTATAACCAAACTTCCTGAATGTTATTGGTGCTGCCATGGTGATTTGCTTGATTCCCTCTAGAGAGCAGTAGTACCGTAGATTGTCACTAGGAGGCTAGGAACCGTGCTAGGGTGATGTGAAAACGGTCGTAAGGAACCAAGCATCGATGTTGTTAACTGATCCAAGCTCGGTCCAAACTCGGCGCAGATCAGTTTTCAGAGGGTACTGTGAATGGGACTATTATGTAAGTTTTTACTGAAAAATATCAGTAGAATAGCCTTTTTGTTTGACCCTTTATGACTAAAACATAATTTGATGAACAGACTGACTCCTCAGTAGTTTAGTGCCAATGCATCTATAAGCCTTTAGCCTATTTTCCTGAGTTTACTTCGGGTCAGAAATCCCCGCACTGTTCTGGGGATGTAAAGTCCATGTTATATGGATCCAACCTAGAAAGAAATCTAAGCATTATATTGAAGATGGATTTTGTGGATTGTCAGCTCAACTCAGACACTAATGTCAACGCCATGTAAGGTGAAAACAAAGTACGAGGCAAAGCTACGAGAACGAGCAGAAGAGTGCTGCAGGTATGTGCTTTGGCCTCAGGTGGCAGCATCATTCCAAAACACATCAATGCCTGTTTTTAAAAGAAAAACTAAAAGAATGATAGGTTGGAGGGTTGGGGTGGGGTCTATCAAGAGCTCGTCAAATGAGATGGTTCAAGCATCTGAACAGAAAAACCTCCAAAATACCTCTGGAGTTCTTCTGGGCATGTCCCACTGGTTAGAGAGTCAACAGAAGAGCCAAAAATCCCTGGAGCAATCTTACATCACATCTCAACCTCACAAAGCATATCATGCTGTGTTTATGTTTCTCTTTAGACGGTGGATTGGATGATTGGGAATTGGATTAGTAAGTTAATTTAATTCCTTAAAGAAAACATGTTGGAGGCTACAAGTGATGTGAGACAGCTTCAAAAGCTTACCTTTCCACAGGACAAGCTGGAGCTAAGATGGAATTGCTTGTGTCAGAACGGAAGAGTCAAATATCAGACTTAGATCTAATTAGGAATTTGTGGTGATAGTCTTCATCCAAATTGACTAAAGCCGGGCATACACTGTGTGATTTTTTTCAGTCGTTGCATGCACCTGCAGCTCACACTGTACGACAAAACCGCAGGGTTTCGTCGTACAGTGTGTTTTCATCTGAGAGGAAGAAGAAGAATCCTTGTTTGCACATGCCCACTGAGTGATTTGCCCACGACGTTCGGGAGAAAATCAATCATGTTTGATTTTCTCCCGACCTCACGATTCCTGATTGTTACCCTCGTTACCCCCTGTACACTACACAACGCATGAACAGGCTGAAAGTCGGCCCGATCGAAAAATTCTCGCTGGAAAATCGCCCTGAAAATCGCACAGTGTACGCCCGGTTTAAGCATAAAGTTTTGTTTAGGGAAATGTGGGATAATAATCTGTCTCTAGATGTGCCATACAGTTAGCTTTTTATTGTGAAATACAAATAGTATTTCACATATGCACAAATTTGCGCCATACTCTTTAGATTTTGAAGGGTAGATTGTAAATCCACTTCATTTAAACTAATTTTTCTGTATCTGTTAAGATTTCTTATTTTAACAATAAAGAAAGCCTCTGTGTGACTTTCCTTTCATCCTTTGCTCCTCCTCATCTGAACCAGCAGGTTAAGAGGAGCACTTCAGAGGTGAGTTCCAACAGTGCAGTAATCCCACCCAGATTTCAGCCTCCATTCAAATTTGAGGGCTGTGCTGAGCCAAGCTGCACTGAGCTGTGTAAAACTTCTCGCTAGAGTGACCACAAGTGAGCAATAATCCACTGATCCTCCTAGTCCCTCCACTTTTTCTTTCTCTACCGGACGCCAGTGCTAATCAACAGCCCTTTGTTTGGTGTCACTTAACCAATGGCTTTTCTGTGGAAGAAAGAAAGGCCACATGGGGCGTTGGTGAGGTGTGACATGTAGGTGTCACTGCCTCTGAAAGGAAAGTCTAATGGAGAGTACTGCGAGGGAAGAAAAACAGAAGGAGAGAAAGAGAGTGTGAATCCATCTCCAGGAAATATCCTGTCCATTTTGTCTGCCCTCTTTCGTCGACATTCCTGTTCCACTCCCCACATGGAAGGAAAGGGTTTGCTGTTGTGTTTTGATTTACAGGCCAGTGGACCTGCTCCTTGCTGTCACAGGTCACTTTGGCTAGATGTGTTTGAGGAATGCCTCAGCATGACTCTGCACGCTCACTCAATAATTTTCTTTTGTCTCTTTTTTCTCTAGAAATAAAAATCTGTTATCAATTATCAGAAGCTATGCTCAACATGTGAAAAAACTAGAAATGCAGTTTCATTTTATATATATAAAGTATATATATTGAGTATTTGGTTGTTAACTTGTCTGTTAAAATGTATTTTTCTTTTTCACAGATGAATATAAAAGTAAGGTTGTCTGTGAAGAGGAGCAGATGAGGCTCAACTGCAAGCAGGGTATGCAGATCTCTGTTTATTCTGCCATGTTTGGTCGAACTCAGCTTGGCACACTGGAGTGCCCCCCCCACTACAGCAGGGCCCCATCTGTAGGTGAGACAATTTATTATTATCAGTGTCGTCTTTCAGGTCATTTGGAAGTTTCCTTTACACACTGTTATGGTTGTTAAAGCTGATGCTTTTCGTTGCTGTGATTTAGCTTACAAGGCTAAGTTCCAAGTTGTGCTGACAAAACTGAGTGCTTCTTTGCTTATTACAAATTTTTCAGTCAATAATTTGATAATAATAATAATATAATATCTGTAAGTGTTTTTTTCTTTTAATTTTTACAGAAAACAACACATTTCAAAATCTTCTTGATGAAAATCTTAGAATTTAGATATGTTCTTTATACTGTTACAAAATACAGTGTAACAGTAGTATTCACAATATTGTTTTTTTTTGTCTTTACTTTCATCACTAATACATTTCTGTTAGACAAAACATTGTTAAAGAATAGGTTAATTTTCATTTTGGTGTTTGAAACTTTAGAATATAGAGCCTGCCATAGAAATGATAGTTTCTAATAAGAATGTTCAAATTTAACATAATTTACAATTCCTCTAAAAATGCTCACTGTTATGACAGTTTTGGTAATTTGTTGATGTTTAGATTAGATTTAGATTTAGACAGATTTATTTTGTCATTTTTGATTTGTGTGTAAGGTTATGATTCCCTGTCTTATTGTCCATCTGCGAAAAGATCACTGACAGAATAGAATTTCTCTTATATGTGTTTTGCTCATGGAAATGCTTTGTGCAACAGGAAAAAGCCCAAACAGACTGTTAAGTTCAGAGATGATATTGGTGACTTCACACAAAATCACTCAATTTACAGTTAGTTCTAACATAAAAAAAAAAAAAAAAAAATTCTGGCATAAACTGCATTAAAAGATGCAACATTGTCATTTCACAAGCTGACAGTGAATTAATATTTTTTTTTTAAGTTTTAGATCAGGTAGTATTACCAAAATTTCAAATTGATATATAAAAAAGGACAATAAAAGACCATGTTTTTTTAATCACCTTCTTTATATTTAAAGTACCAAAACAATGAGATCACTATGCCTTTAGAACGATTTGAGAAAAACTGCTCTTGTTAAATAATTTCTTACCTATGAATAAATTATTATTAATTTTTTAATTATGAAATCAATGCATCAGCCAGACCTGCTCTTATATTAAATACACTGCTCGAAAGAATTAAAGGAACACTTTGAAAACACATCAGATCTCAATGGGGGAAAAAAACATTATGATATACTGATATGGACTGGGTGATGTGTTAGGAAACAAAAGGATGCCACATCATTTGATGGAAATGAAAATATTCAACCTACAGAGGGCTGAATTCAAAGACATACACACGACATTGATTGTGATGGGAGACACAGTAAACCCTCTGGCAATGGCACGTATTGATGTGCCATCCTGGAGGAGTTGGACTGCCTGTGCAACCTCTGTAGGGTCCAGCTAGCGCCTCATGCTAACAGTAGTGACAGTGACTCTAGCGGCTAGAGTCACTGTCACTACTGTTGGCTAGAGTCTAGCCAAATGCAAAACTGGTGAAAAAAAGTCAGAAAAGATGAGGAGGGGGAAAAATGTCAGTGGCCTCCACCTGTAAAACTATTCCTGTTTTGATGGTCATCTCGTTGTTGCCCCTCTAGTGCACCTGTTGTTAATTTCAACAATTTCAATTAACACCAAGAAGAAGTTTAATTAACTTGATGCAATACTCTGATTACAAAGTGTTCCTTTAATTTTTTTGAGTAGTGTATTTCCAAAAAAACAAACAAAAAAAAAACAGTAGGAAAATGGATACATTGCCCATAATTTTTCTCTTTTATGTGTAATTCATCCCACCAGTTCTCAATAAGAAAATGTTTGCTACTATTCAATCCATCATTAAAGGACTTTGTCTAGAAATGTGCTGCAGGTGGCTGCACTTTGGAGTAGCTCTGCTAGCTTTTCTCTGGTATT